GCGTTACCATCAGACGCTTAAGACCATGATTAGAGCTTTCTGTTTTGAATATGAGAAAGACTGGGATGAGGGCATACCCTTGCTTCTGTTTGCTACAAGAGAAGCTAAGCAAGAATCTTTAGGGTTCAGTCCATTTGAGCTAGTATTTGGTCATTCTGTGCGTGGTCCACTTAAATTGCTCAAAGAAAAGTGGCTGTCAGAAACTGAAAAGTTTAATCTGCTGAACTATGTAACTGGGTTTAAAGAGCGCCTATCAAAGGCTTGTGAAATAGCCAAAGAAAATTTGCTAAATAGCCAAGATAAAATGAAAACTTGGTATGACAGAAAAGTCAAAGAAAGATCTTTCCAGCCAGGTGACAAAGTTCTTATATTGCTGCCACTTCAGACAAATCCATTACAGGCAAAATTCTATGGTCCTTATGTAGTGGATTCAAAGGTCAATGACCTCAATTATATTGTCAAAACTCCAGATAGGCGCAAAGAAACACAACTGTGTCACATCAATATGATGAAAAGGTACTTTGAGCCAGACAAAGAGCCTGGCTCAGTTAAACCTGTAGTCACTTTGGCACCTGCCCTTGTAAAAGAAACTGATCTACAAGATTCAGATGATATCACTTATACTGATTTGGACTATGAAGATATCAAAGGTTTGTCTAGGTTAAAGAACTCTGAAGTATTATCAAATCTAGATCATAAATTGCACCATGTGACAAATGATCAAAAACAGCAAGTCACAGAATTAATTCATGAGTTCACTGATATCTTCTCTCATGTACCGACTAAGACATCTATAGCTTATCATGATGTTGAAGTCCAAGATGTAACCCCTATTAAGCAACATGCTTATAGAGTTAATCCATCAAAATCTGAAGATTTGAGAGCTGAGGTCAATTATATGTTAGAAAATGACATAATTGAAAAGAGCAATAGCCCATGGAGTTCACCTGCTTTCATTGTTCCAAAATCAAACGGTGGACGTAGGCTAGTGGTTAATTATATCAAGGTGAATCGAGTAACAAAGACCGATTCTTATCCAATACCACGAATTGACGACTGCATTGACAAAATTGGAACTGCTAAATATGTCAGTAAATTTGATCTCCTCAAAGGATTCCTAGGGGTTCCATTAACTGAAAGAGCAAAACAGGTATCTGCCTTTGTTACTCCTGATGGTTTGTACCAATTTAAGGTTATGCCATTTGGTATGAAAAATGCACCTGCCACATTTCAAAGAATGATGAACAGTTTATTAGCAGATCTCAAAAACACTGGTGTATACATCGATGATGTAATTGTCTATTCTGACACTTTTGATGAACACATGTGTTTGCTGCGTAAGTTGTTTGAAAGAATTTCTCTGGCCAATTTAACAATCAATTTGGCTAAAAGTGAATTTTGTAAAGCCACAGTTGAATATCTGGGCCATGTGGTAGGTCAGGGGCAGGTCAAACCAGTGAGTGCCAAAGTGGAATCAATTACACAACTCCCAGCTCCTACTAACAAGAAAGAATTAATGAGAAGTCTTGGAATGGCTGGCTTTTATAGGAAGTTTTGTCCAAATTTCTCTTCAATTGCTCTTCCATTGACCAATTTACTTGGGAAAAACATCAAATATGTGTGGTCTGAGCAATGTCATACAGCCTTTGATAAAATCAAGGCCATACTAAGTGAAGAACCAGTGCTTGTTGCACCTGATTTTAGCAAGCCATTCAAGATTCAAGTAGATGCTTCTGATGTAGGAATGGGAGCTGTCCTATTACAAGAAAGGGATGGTATTGATCATCCAGTGTGTTATTATTCAAAGAAATTTGATAAACATCAGAAAAACTACTCCACCATAGAAAAGGAATGCCTAGCATTGCTTCTGTCATTACAGCATTTTGAAGTATATGTTAGTTCACCAGTTCATGCAGTTACTGTATTTACTGACCATAATCCGCTGACATTCCTTCATAGAATGAAGAACAAGAATCGTAGATTGTTGAGGTGGAGTCTGTTATTGTCAGAGTACAATCTTGACATACGACACATCAAAGGCAAGAATAATTTAATTGCTGACACTCTTTCAAGAGTGTAATACCTCTATTTCTAAGAGGCTATTTGAGCTAAACTGCATATGCTTAAGGCTTTGTGCTAATATAATATAATAAAAGGATTGTAGTTCGAGTGTGATTTGATAATATTATTGTAATATGCTTTTGGGTTTTACTCAGTCTGTAACTATATAAATATTATTATATTTAACTATTGTAAAAAAATGTTATGTAAGTCTAAACCTCATCTCTGAAAAATTGTAACCCTCGCCACACCAGATATTATTGTAAAAGTTTTTCATTACATTCAAAACTTTTCTTTTAAGGAGGGAGGTGTAATAGTATTATGTTCTATTATATTCACATTAAGTTTAGTTTATCAATATGCATACTGTAACTGATCTTCATTAGAGATCTTAGGTCAAGTCAAGGTCACAATGACATTATATCTTGTAAACATAACTGAACTGAATGACTCATTAACTCTTGGCCTTCTAGAAAGTACTGGAACTGTAATCATTTAATCAAGATTGAATCATGTGACTTAAGATGTCCAATCAGTGTTATTTTCTAGAAATCGTAACTTCTTGAAACATCTGGACTATGCCTTTGCACTATATAATGAGAGAGCTGATTTGGGCTGTCAGCAGAATTTCAAAGTTTATCAAAAGGACATCTTCTTAGCAGATAATTACTGTGGGAACATTTATAACACTACAAACATACAACCTGAGGACTTTATATGGACATATATTACAACACACACTATATACGGATTATCATATACATTCGTGGATTATCATAAACATTTGTGGATTATCATCAAACATTTGTGGATTATCATCAAACATTATTGGATACGAATATTATAGGATTACGACGAACATTATTGGACTATTACAAACATTGGAGAACTATTAACGATTATTGAAACTTTCGTGATCTGGAACATTCTCAAGGATCGTCAAGGATATTTATCGACATCAAGAATAAGCCGTACCATTGGTTGGACATTAATTAAGTATTAAACCTCCTTTATATCATTGTTATATTATTTAGTTTTCAAAATATAAATATATTGTTATCATATTTTAATTGCTGTTTTTACTTTCTGTTATTTTCGAACGTAACAACATTATACATAGTTTAATCAATTTGTTTACAGGACGATAAAATGTTGTATTTTTCATCAGAACACATTATATCAGTAACAAATACATAATTAAAAAATAAAGCATTGAGTTTTGGTTTATTATAAAAGTATTATGGTATCCGAATCTGAACGATGTCTCAGGGGAAAGGTTTCAGCAAATGCTCATTACAGATTATTTTTGAAAGACAATTGATCTGTACTTATTTTCTATTTGTGCCAGACAAACACATTGATATCATTAGAGACTTGCGAGTGAACAAATCAATATTTAATACCATATAATTCCAATGTTATATGAACATTGTGTCTGTCATTTCAATTCGTTAAAGTGATAGTTCATCTAAGATGGTGAGTAAAAACATGTAAAATCCATATTTTGTATTTCAGTAAATGTTTCATTGGGACTTCCAAACATCCTGATATCTAAAAAAACTGGTTAGAAGGTGAATAAAAGTGGAGATATGAATATTGTGTTCGTATTTTGAATCAATCTAGATTTATTGTAAAAGAGTTGTATTCATATACATGTACATTTTGCTGAAACATTAAAATCCAAAGTTGCTGTCAGTCCATTGTAGGCATGGTAAATGAAGAATAAAAAGTGTTAAGTCTCTATTTATTCTTGAAAATAATAGTTTCGTATAATTCTCAGGTGGTAGTTCTGCTTTACAAACTGTAATTATCAAAAGCACTCTTGCAGTAAAATATGTATTCACAATAACAAAAACAATATGACCACGTAAACATTGTATTAATATAGAAAACCGCATTGTATAAAGGTTTAACTACCGCATTTTTCAAAATCTACCGTAAAACTACCGCATTTTTTCAAAATCTTCCGCAAAAGTACCGGTTTTTCAAAATATCACCGTCAAATCTACCATAAAACTACCCCATTTTTTTCAAAATTTTCCGCAAAACTACCGGTTTTTCAAAAAACTACCGTAAAAACTACCGTATTTTTTAAATCTACCGTAAAACTACCGCATTTTTTCTAAATCTTCCGCAAAACTACCGCTTTTTTTTAATTTCTACCGCAAAATTACACTTTTTTCAAAAATCTACCCCAAACCTCTGAAACTACAGTATATTTTAAAAATCTACCGCAAAAACTACCGTATTTTTTTAAATCTACCGCAAAAACTACAGTTTTTTTAAAATCTACCGCAAAAACTACCGTTTTTTCCTAAAATCTACCGCAAAAACTACCGCAATTTTGTTGAAAAATACCGCAAAAACTACCGTATTTTGAAAAAATCTACCACAAAAATACAGCAATTTTAAAAAAATCTACCGCAAAATGTTGGTCTTAGGTTGGCAGGTATGTTTACATTCTGTTTGATGTTTTTTGACCCCCATGTGATGTTTTTTACCCCTATGTGATCCGTTTTGGTCCATTGAATCATGGTGTCATAGCTCATAGATGTTTCTTATTTGTTTAAGCAAAACTCATGCGGTTGATTTGATGTTGCGATACCAAGATATCAATCAACCTGAACTACATGTATAAATAAGTATGACATCACTGATCTCATGGGGGCCAATCTGACTGATCAGTTTATTTCATAATACTGTTATTTAGACTATTAACAGTTATTTATCAATTATTTTAAAATGGTTATAGTGAGAACTTTTTACTATAACTGAAAAAGCATGATACAATGTTTTCGACACTTTGGCTAGTAGGGGTCAAATTTATGTGTGTTAGTGTCTTTTTTCAAAAAGTAGTTGGGCGATTCTGTTGAAATTTTAAATGTGGCTTCTTAGAAGCATATTACACTGATACATCGATATTTTGGCGAGCAAGTGGCCATTTTTATGTGTGCTATTTTACGATTTTTGCTATAACTGAAAAAGCAATGGAGGACTTTGTAAAAATGGCAGGCATGGCTGCTGGGTGAGATTTGCTACACCTTAGTGTCACTGTTATCTAGTTTGGAATCCTTTGAAGCAGAGTCTTGTGGAATATACATCATTCTATGTGAAACTCCCTCCGATTGGTGACACTTTTCCAAACACATAGGATCTAAATTTTTAGTCTTACGGAATGCAATACAATGTAGATGCTCCTGTTTTTCATAACAATATCTGGTAAAGCCTAATGATTCTATAGCAACTCTCCAACTTTTCATCATATTTTGACGTTTGTTCTGGTGGCTTGAGTCTGGTGTTATAATCAAAAGCAAGCTGTCATCTACTAAAAGGTCACATGCTTTTTGACAACAATGCCATCTTTGTACAGTTGATGGTAAGTATTCCAACAGTAAAGAGAATACAACAACATGGAAAGCTCCTCTTGGTACTTCCGTAAGTGGCGATTTGAAACTAGTCATTGATAATCCATCAGCAGGATTGCACTCATATGTCCACTCGGTTAGTTGAAGATTTAAGAAGTCACACGACAGGACGGTCTGAAAAACATTCAAATTAAAATTATACAAAGAATAGGCTTCTATTTAAGAACAATGAAGATTGAATATATATTGTGTGTTTTAGGAAAATGTTTCTCTGATTGAGCAGGAACAAATTGTATTACATCCTTCAACGAGATCACAAATGTGTACATGTTCCCACCATTGGGTGATCCTATATCATGGGCGTAGCGCTATTTCTCTAAGTAGTATGCCACCACGGGTACAAGAGTTGAGCGAAGCAAAAAACGAGCGTTTAGGGGGGGTTTGGGGGGTTTTCTCCCCCAGGAAAATTTTGAAATTTGGTTGTATTTGGAGCGAATTTGCAACCATCTGGTACACAGATATTGGCCAGATCGTTTTGTAGTAAGATCTCATAGGGTCAAAGAATAATTCACAAGATACGACACTAAATTGGAAAATTTAAAAAAAATATGACCACCTTTTAAAAATGTTCCTTATACAAAATGGTACCTGCTTCCCCATGACAGATTTTGCACTTATTTTATAGCTGAGATCTTCATCTTTCTATTTCTACTTGTTTGGTTCGAGTAAATAACCTATGGATGCAGTTATTTGACTTTTAATACGGCGAATATTTTTCACGAGATCCGGACTCTTGTGTGTCCAAATACCATTGTTCTGATGACATCACATTTCTGGAACCACGGGAGCACCATTCAGATTTGGACAGATAAGAGTCCGGCGATAAAACATCACTGTTTTGGTCTCTTATCAACGCAGCATTGCTTGAATAACGGTCATTGGTGATATAAAAGTTAAAGAATAACAAGATGCTTCGAATGAGGTAAGATTTGTCTCATATTTTTCAGAAATGGCTCAATAATCGTCATTTTAAAATGTGAAATTTTCTGAGGTGTCTCATCTTGAGGAATATTTATTGAGCTACTGATCCTACTACAAAAGAATCTGGCCGGGGTCTATGATCTGGTACGCCTGTGCATACCCACCGTACCGGGCGCTACGCCTATGTATATAGATTTTAGATCCTGAATGCCCAACATTTATCAGTTGAAGGACCAAGATTTTAGGATGAAAAACCCAAAAGGGCCACTAAAGAATTTATACATCAATCCATCAATCATTTTGACTGGAATCTTGTAGACATTACTTAAACAAGACACAAAGTGAACACTATCGCACCCTTGAATAGACAGTCAATAAGATGAACTACTTTTTTCAAAAGTCATATTTTTCAAATATTGAAAAGTTATATTGAATGATATTTATATAATGATATATTTTTTGAAAACTAGATCATTATGTTATTAAAGGAACTGCAATCATCTGGTTTCAAAGTTCTCTCCATTTCCCCTCAAATTTGTAAGCCAACCTCGATTGTGGAGTGTCCAATACTTGATCAATTACTTTCCATAATTTATGTAAACGTTATATATATATTCAGACAAAGCTGAAATGTTTCGTTTCTGGTAATAAATAATCTTGATTATTCAGCAAATTCGGGTATTATTTCCAGAATATTTTAGTCTTGAGAAATTCTTATTATTCAACTGAAACATTATATGAAAACGTCTCAAGCACTATCTGTGCATGAAGCCAAATTCAAGTGAGCATTAAGAGTGCTTGATAGTTTTTCTTCATTGCAATAAAGGTGCACAAGGATTAACATACTTCTGTTGCTGGGCTTATATCAACTGCTAGAGAAGAAAACTCTGGGAATGTCAGGAATGGGTTATAACAGCTTCCTACATCAAATAGCTGGATTTTACCCTCAAATGGCAGTTTTCTGAAAATAAAAAGATGTACAGTTTAAAGAAAGCATTACACAACTACAAAACCTGTATTTTGAGTGACTTTTTCATTCAAAACTGAGAGTAAAAGGGGAAAATTATTTTACCACTGTACTTCCAGTTATATTGAGTGCTACTATATTTGTATATTTCATACTATTTGAACATTTTGTAAAATTCTCAAAATTCCAATAGTTACCAATAGTTCTAGCCTTCCTGGTGAATAACAGATCTGGCAAATAAGAGATATAGTGAATAATAGGGTTAGTGAATAATAGACCTTGTGAATGGTGAATAACAGATCTGGCAAATAAGAGATATAGTGAATAATAGGGTTAGTGAATAATAGACCTTGTGAATGGTGAATAACAGATCTGGCAAATAAGAGATATAGTGAATAATAGGGTTAGTAAATAATAGACCTTGTGAATAACAGATCTGGCAAATAAGAGATATAGTGAATAATAGGGTTAGTGAATAATAGACCTTGTGAATGGTGAATAACAGATCTGGCAAATAAGAGATATAGTGAATAATAGGGTTAGTGAATAACAGACCTTGTGAATGGTGAATAACAGATCTGGCAAATAAGAGATATAGTGAATAATAGGGTTAGTGAATAATAGACCTTGTGAATGGTGAATAACAGATCTGGCAAATAAGAGATATAGTGAATAATAGGGTTAGTGAATAATAGACCTTGTGAATGGTGAATAACAGATCTGGCAAATAAGAGATATAGTGAATAATAGGGTTGGTGAATAATAGACCTTGTGAATAAAAAGATGTGGTGAATAATAAACCTCATGAATTGTTATGAAATTTCCTTCAATGAGATAATAAATATTGAAGTTAGGGGAACTTTTTTCAATATCTACCATATTATTTGGCCCATATTAACCACAAGGTGGTGAAATTGGTAGCAATCTACTGGCACCTTGGTAATTCCCCTCCAATTCAAATGTCACATTTTTATGATAAAGCGCCACCTGCGGGAATGCTGATTAGTCATATGGTTTTACCAACCCATTACCGAAAATTTCTAAACAAGACAATGTACTACAATTGACGATCCTAAATTAATTTGAATAAAAATATTAATCCTAAAAAAGAAAAATGACTCGTATTGTGCATATAATTTACATAATGGGAACACTATTATTTATTTTTTGCCTCATGATTTTATAACCTGTACAAGCAATGTGCGATGAAACATTGGCAATCTATGAATTTCAAAATACAAAGCACATTTCATCCCATTTGTCAATGTTTATCATATACTTACATGCTCAAAACAGGGTTAGAGTTCATGCATTCATAGTCTTTTGTGCATCCTTCATTGATCCGGAATTGCTTACGTCTTGCATCTTTATCCCTAGCACTTTGTAATCCTTCACCAAAGAAATAATTCTTACAGATATCCCTACACCAATCTATTCTGGTCTGAGGTGATTTTGTCCAATGTTTTGTAGCAAGTAGATGCATTGCTTCAGCATACTTTTTCAATGTATTTTTGTCGTTACAGTGGTCACTCCAAATCTTGCTGTAGTTTTCTGTATCTGGAATAAGTGATTTTTTATATATTAGAGAGATTTCGCACCTAGTGAAAGTACAACTTATAACGTATACTGATACTTATAGGTAAACGTACAAGGTGTTTCATAATGTGAGCTTTTCGTCAGAAAAGATCTTCTCGGACTGTAATAAATACAGGTCAAAGGGATGCCATTTGTACTTTCTTGAATTGTAGCATGTTTAGTTGATCCAAATGTGTTTGTCTAGAATAAAATAGGCTCATATATAGTACATATGTTATAGACCCATCTCTTCTCAAATTGACTTTTTGGAGATGCTCGTTATGAAACACCCTGTATGTCATATGTTGAGCTACTGAATGGGTTGTTTCCAAGAATTGCTAGAACCTACTGGTTTGATTGGTGTTTCAAATTGATGGTTAAAGTATTTGATTGGATACTGTTCCCACTCAGCCAATTAATTTTTAAAAAATGCTTGCGGTCAATTGTTCCACACACATGTAGGCAAATCTTTATACGGAGATCCAACTGTATACGTTATCATCTACGTAAATATACCGTTTTGTAAGTTCATTGAACTTATACTGATCATGAAAACATTGAAATAATCAACTTGTTTATGTAATAGACTCACTTTAAAGAATCATGACTCCCTTTAAAGGATCGTGTTTATAATACACTACAACTACAAGGACACGGAAGCAAGCATTTAATTATAATGTGCATAATCTACACATGCAGATGACAGTGCATTCATAGTCTCTAGTTGATGGAGCTTTTCTATATCGGGAATAGTTATGTTCCATTAAGTACAATTTAAAATTGATTTTAGTAAATATAATAGTTCGACATGACCCTTTAAACTATACGTATACGTATAAGTTGTACTTTCACTTATGTGTGAAATCTCTTTATTATTTAGAATGACACACTCATCCATGCATATGCCTTCACATCATTTCAGTTTCGTTCAAGAGCATTTGGGTTTACAATTTACACCCCTGGATTTACACCCTAGTATGCAGTAGTTGCTTGCAGGAAACGCTTGATGTGAATACCATGCTCATGCATTCCAGAACAAATGGCCATTTTTAAATTTAATTCATGATATTTTATAATCTGTGTTGGGTATTCAATTATATTCAATTCCAAATATATGTACATGATACATAATAAAAGGTAATTGTGTAAATAGTTGTGTACTGCGAAGTATTAAACCTTTATTTTGGAATGTTATAAAAACCCTTCGACCTTCGACCTGCACCTTCGACCTTCAGCTTCGACCTACAGGGTATCCAAAAAGCGGGCCAAAAAGAAAGTTATAAAAACCCTTCGACCTGCACCTTTGACTTTTCTTATGAAAATTGTCAAAGTCCAAAAATATTTCTTTGAAAAACAATTAAGTCCAACTTCACATAGATTATGAAATTGAACGGAGCTCTGTCCTCGTCGAAAGCTAGCTGTCATCTCCTGAGTTTACATCGGCGAAATACTTTATAGGCCTGGTGACGTCATCACTTTTCGGACAAGATTTCAAAGTTAAATAACAAGTTATTGACGCCATATCCAGTTTTAATACTGATCACACAACAAGACTATAATTGGAACTCAATAAATAGAACAGTAATTGATCGCTACTTACTCTAATCTTACTTCGATTCAATCGAATCAAAACCAGGAAGTAAGTTCTAAAAAGGGAACTTAAACTACCCGATTGACTACCGGATCAACAGCAACAGAATCTTAATTTGATAACATGAAAACGCTATTTCACCCCTGTAACTATACCTAGAGTACTGCAAACGTTGCTACAATTTAAGATCTTAATGATCTCACCTGTGAACCACAAATCAAGTGACTCTTGCATGGTCTGAGATCGGCAAAAATAGCTTCTATAATATTTTCTTTTTGGACACCCTGTAAGTCGAAGGTGAAGGTCGAAGGGTTTTTATAACATTCCCTTTATTTTCACATTTGGCCAAAAAATTAGTAGTGCAAGGATTTATTTGGAGGGACCTTTTGCTGAGATCAAAGTACATTCATGATATATTTATATTATGAATATATGGATTTCCCCAAATTTTATAAAATCACACAGAAATTATATGACTTTTAAGATGCAAATATAATTTGTATCAATAGGGTATCTTGATCAACAATACTAAATGAATATTATACAAATAGTGACTGCCATTGAGGGAAATAGTGCAAAATATTTTTCCTGAGGGAATATCCTATCCACTGACATGTAGCCGAGGGAACATGTCAGTGGACAGGATATTCCTGATGGAAATTTTTTTAAACTATTTCCAAAAAATGTGGCAGTCACTTTTTGTTTTATTATATACCCCATATGTACTCTGTTAACAAAAACAAAATGAGAAGCCTTCATTTCAACATTTAATGTTGACAGGTTCTTATTGGCATTTAACAGTATTTTGCCTTTCAACTCCTCTAATTTCAGCTACCAGGGAAGATAAAACATACTAATGACTGGTCACATGACCTAACTGGTGATAAGTACATTCCATCTTCCCTGATAGCAGGGATTTAGAACTTTCCAGGGAATTAGTTCATCTTTATTCTATTTCATATCATGTGACCATGAATAAGCCAATGAGCATCTAGAATTACATATGGGGTATATAATAAAATAAGTTGTTTTTCCCCATTCCTTAACTAGTTCAACTAGACAACAGCAACGCCAAAGCGTAGCAAATCCCATCGAACAGCCATGGCTGGCATTTTTACAAACAAAGTATATAGCAAAAATGGCAGCCATTTTTCAAAATGCCCAACTTCTACCAAAAGTGTCATTAGACAGTGTTCCATGCTTATAGTATTCACATACCAAATATGAACAAAATCGCTCCACTACTTTTCGAGTTTTAGTAAAATCGATAAAATGGTGGCCATTTATGAAAAATGCCCGCCTTCTACCAAAAGTGTCATTAGACAGTGTGCCATGCTTATAGTATTCACATACCAAATATGAACAAAATCGATCCACTATTTTTCGAGTTACAGCAAAAATTGTAAAATAACGAGTAAAGGCCGGCATTTTTCAAGATGGCTGCCATGTGCTTCTTAAATATCTACATTTCTAGCTTTATTAATGTCCTATATAATTTTTTACATTTAAAACATATTTCTTACATATTGCACCTAAATTACTGTGAAATCGTCACTAAAATGGCAGCCATTTTTAAATGAGTGGCCATTTTGAAAATCAGCTTTCAAGCAGAACTTCTACCCCCATGGGGTATACGTTAGTGTTGTCGCGATTAATCGATACATCGCGATATACATCGCCAAAGCTGATTCTGGCGATGCATCGATGTCTGAAACAAAACATCGATGTTTTTTAAAAAAATTTCATTTGCTAAAAATCACCCTTTCTTATCTTATTTTGACCCAAATCGCTTACCTTTCTCATGTCTTATTTCATTTTCTGATGTTTTCTGATATTCTTTCGCTTTAAAACTGTTTTAGTTAGTCATAATGAACCATTAATCGAAAACAATTTACCTTACTTTCATATCACCGTTACTAGAAGTTCCCGGATGTACTAGTGTACTCTTATTAATTTGTTCTGTTCGGTATTTTAGTGCATTAGCGTTCGGTATTTCAGTGCATTTTTATCGGGCTTTTTCTCGATGTACATCGCGATGTGCATCGATGTTTACTACTGAAAATTGCCGATGCATCGATGTACGATTATGGCACATCGTGACAACACTAGTATACGTGTACAAAATATGAACAAAATCGGGCCAACGGTATTTGAGTTATTGCTCGGACGGACGGACGCCAATAACTCAAATACGGTATACGGTACGGACGGACGGAGGCATTCCCTATATTCCCTATATCCCTCCGAACTTTGTTGGATGGGATAATAAGTACACCTTTTTAACAAAATTGCTATACTTTTTTTTCATTTGTCAAAAAACTTTCTCCCATTTCTTTATGTACTCAAAAAATATCCAGGAACGTTTGAGGGTATTTTGGAGAAAACTGTTGGATGTACAGCTGGGAGGACAGACACAGAGTGGCTCGACACAATATGGCCACACACTAAGACGTGGTGGGGACATAAAAAGTCACATGAAAAACTACTCAATTACATATCGCGTTATCATACTTACTTTGTTTGAGTTGTCCTCTCAGTTTTGCATGAGTGCTCTTGATAATCCCAGCTAGAAACAGATGCTCCTCCTTTTCTTCATTTTGATGAGATGTTGCCATAGCCCCTATAAATGGAGGAAATATCCCAGAATTCATAGATGAACCTGTCTTGAAGATTTACATGGAAATAAATTCATCTATGAATTCTTGGGATGAACCTGTCTTGAAGATTTACATGGAAATAAATTCATCTATGAATTCTGGGGTAAAGTCAATAATCGGGTAGTTCCTGGCATTGTCAACTTTCATTCAGTGAATATAATAACTTGATCAAAATAATATGATTTACGAAATCTCTGGCGGTTTCTGTAACAAGAGCTACCGAAGTTCATTTGGAAATCCCTAGTTCAACAAGTTAGACAGAATACCACGGCTTTCATTTATTAATCTGAATGTTCTTGTTGCCGTGATTGGGTTTCACTTCCGTGCCATGCTTTCATTGGTTGCAAATTCTCACTATCATTTATTAATAAAACGTGCATGGAATTTTATGCGCTGCCATAGGCCACCATTAAATTATTTTGCATTAAATAGGCCGAATAGGCACGAACGTTAAACCTAGGGCGGGCCACAAGATATGTCAGATAAGAAATAAGGCCCAGACTAGGTTTAACTTGTTGAACTAGGAAATCCCAGGACTTCATGAATTTCTATTTTGATTTCTCGATAGAAAATGTCTACTCGAGGTCTGATTGAAACAGAATAATATACAGTTTGGAACAAAACAAATGACAGGTGGATTTTCTATCACCATATCCAAACCATGGTGTTTTGAAAGCCCTATAGGGGGCTCCCCAAGGGGTATGTGATAAGGCGACCTGGCCTCTAAAAATGTGACTGAATGGGACTTTGGGGTACTTAAAAATGAACAAATGTGACAAATCAATCCTTGGAAGTGACAATTTTGCACATTTATAGGACTGACAAGTGTTTTGAGAGTGACAAAAATAGATAATTCGTTCTGATTGTAAATTGATGCTAGTTAAGATTATTTATTCTAACCAGCAATCAAACAATGGAACATAACAGACCATTTAGTGCATTAAATACTTATACTGACTAAAAAGGAAAGAATCTGACAAAATATGACAAGTACATTTTAAATGTGACAAAGTGAGAATTTTGAAATCTTAAAAGCGACAAAAGCGACACCACTGCCCCAGTGCCCCCTCTTGAGGAGCCCTCTATTATACCCTCTATAGTCTCAAATATTGTCTGGATACATATCCCTTAAAATTTGTATATTTTACATTTTGTATACTGTCATCCACTGATGTATGACCTCTTGAAAATTCTCTTATTTTTAACATGGGAAATCCTCACTTCGGCAAATCCATGTGTCATTATTTTTGTTCCAAACTGTACAGACCTTCGCAAATGTAGGATGGAGATGTATGGATCATTTGGAGATATAAAGTAATCAGCTGATTTCATTTCCACCCCTCATGATTCTGAAACGAGTAAAAGTGGGTGACTAGAGGCTGTCCTATCAGCTAAGATCAGTGGCCAGCATTTGAAAGAGGTTAATGCTGCAGGGCTGTCAACTTGGGACCATCTAACATGAGTGACTTCCAAATGTTGAACACCTTCCTTAAAACTTTGGACAGCTTCAGTGAACACTGGCAGATTTTGGACACCTAAAATTTTTCCAGCTCGCTGTTCAAATCTGTCAACGGGGGGGGGGGGTACACATATTTTGTACCAAATGCGTGACAGAATCAGCAATCGCGTGCAAAGACCGAACGTATTGCGTTCACTTTTTTTCGCTGTTCGGTATTTTAACCGTAACGGCATTTCGCAAAAAAAGATTTTTAAAAATTTCAACAAAATGCGTGTTTTGCGTGATATTTGATCATACACGCTAAATTGATGCGTGATTTCTATTTTTCCAGCAAATGCGAGACAATCACGCCTAATGCGTGAGGGTTGACAGGGCAGATGCTGGCATAGGCTTACACGATTGATAGAAAATGGAATAGGCCTATAATTTGAATGATAATGACCACAGTGAGCAGCATCAATCTTCATTATTCACTTATATATAGATAGATGGTGCTGACTAAGCTTAGCTTATTTGACCACTTGATTTATTTTCATTTGAACTGCTCTATTCTAAAGATCATAGATCTCATGTGACGATAGTGACCCTGGGAATGCCTGGAAAGTAAGAATTGTTAGAGATATTTACATAAATGGCATAAAGTCTATGGCACAAAAATGGGAAAACTTACAAAATATCACAAGAAATCTTCGAAAGTTTGTTCGCCGTTTGTTCTGCTTCTCACCGGAAGTGAATTTCAAGGTATAACTACGATAAATAAATTCTTGGAAAATCTAGTTCCAAGAATAAAATCCGTAATCCAACACAAAATTCGAAAATTCTGAACAATGCTTTGCACATATGGCGTTCGTGACCAACTATGAAACGCTTACCCCCCATCGTGTTATATATCGAAATGTACACTAAAAAAATTTACACTAAAATTGCGACCATTTTGAAACCGGTAGCCATTTTGAAAATCAGCTTTAGAGCAGAACTTGTATTCACACGAGGCATATACTATCTATATACATATATATATCTTCGCTATACAGGGTAACCCCAAAACAGAGCCCTTCAAAAATGAATCAATGATTTTAATGCATATGTAATCAGCTTCATTGTTCATGTTCAGAGACTAAAATCTATGGATGACAATGTGAGACCAAATTTGTCACATAACATTCAATGTTCTTCTTGTAATGGTCAATTAAAAATGTGCCCACTTTTGGAAGAACACAAAATTTAAGATTTGTTACCTTTTGGTTGACGAGATATTTTGGAACTGCTTTCAATGCAATGACATACTGTCACAGGCTGGTATCGAAAAATTTGTCCGCTGTGACGGAGCGTGCTATTTTGCATAGAAACACTAAGAAACCCACACAATTTATTTTTTTAATCATATGTTTCGCTATTCCAAAGAAAGTTTCTCACTCCATGCAATGGGTATATCATTTGCGGGTAACTTTAACTTTTGTTTGAAGTCCAACAACGCTAAGAGTAAAAGCTATTGAAAACGGCGTCGGAGTATCATACTCCAAAATGTACCATTTCTTTTATTTCTTTTTAATGGTACAATATAGTGACACGATAATATTTACATATGTTTTCAGCATAACTCTGAAGGTATTAATGATATCTTGATGTATTGGGTATTTTTAATATTTTTTATAAAAAATAATGTTTTCATTTTTTGTCAGCTGTGACGGAGTAGTTTTAACTGTGAACTACGTTAAGAATTTATGATTTAAATTATACCTTTTAAAAGTACCCTTAGAAGAGAGAAAGTCACAAATCACTTTCCTAAATTATGAGAAGTAGCCTCTGAGAGATCTGGGGTAATGTAAATCTGAGATATAAAAACGACCACTCTAAGCATTTTTCGGAGGTTTGTACTGAAATCAACATGGTATAAACTCAACATTATATTTCTGATACGTTTTCGCCAAGACGTCTTAGAATGTCACGTGTAGTGTAAATTGTTACGCGGAATATGGCATACATTCATGGTTGCGCAGTATTTGTGATACGGGTGAATATGCCATACTCACCTGCGGTATATGGCATATTCCGCAGGTGAGTATGCGATATTCCGCAGTGAATATGTGATGCATTGAATTCAGTGAATACCCGATACTCACCTTCAGAATATGTCATACTCACTTGCGGAATATGTCATATACAGCAGGTGAATATGACATATTCCGCAGGTGAAAAACGTGATACAGAAAGACTTGGTTTGATTGGTTGCGAGAATCGACTCTGAATGTAAAACTACGCTGGATTACCAATACTGTAAGTGCGTCGAGTACTAATATATGAATCCTGGATTGATTGGGTAAGTTTATTACGTGAGATTGGTGAGTGATACTTCTGCATACGTTGATATATTCGATAAACTGTACTGTTGATTCAGTAATCATTATAATAATTTATAAAGTTTTACTTGTTCGTACAATCGATGCAATTGACAATTGCATACTTCCGTATCACGTTCTCATTGGTTAGTGTGTATACCATATACCGCAGATGAATCTGTCATACACCGCAAGTGAATATGGCATATTCGTTGCGGAATATGCCATATTTTTGGGATCGTGTTTACCACGTAACAGAAATAGGGATAATATGAATTTATTCGAAATAGCGCACAGACGTCCTGCATTCCGACAGATGTATAACCTTTTACCACATAATATTACTGTATATAAGTTACCATAAAAAAATGACCATGTCAGGTGATGGATCCACAGTAGGCACAACGAAAGGCAAATACCCTATACTGAAATAAAGTTGACTATCATTTTCATGAGTTACCATGCATAACTTGGATTACAGTACAAACTGAGAAAAGAAGCTTAAAGAGTGGTCGTATATAATACATCTCAGAATTTGAATTGTGTACTTTTATTCCGTTTTATTTTTCAGAATACTTAACGAAAGAGATTTGATACGCTCCCTCCTCTAACGTGTAATTATAAAGAGATATATTATAAATCTAAATTCTTAACGTATTTCAGATTTGAAACTGCTCCGTCACAGCGGACAAAAAATTTAAACATTATTTTTTATAAAAAAAATTAGAAATACCCAATACATAAAGATCTCATTAATACCTTCAGAGTTATGCTGAAAACATATGTAAATATTATCGTGTCGCTATATTGTACCATTAAAAAGAAATAAAATAAATGGTACATTTTGGAGTATCACACTCCGACGCCGTTTTCAATAGCTTTTACTCTTAGCGTTGTTGGACTTCAAACAGAAGTTAAAGTTACCCGCAAATGATATATTCATTGCATGGAGTCAGTAATTTTCTTTGATATAGCAAAACATATGAGTAAAAAAATAAATTGTGTGGATTTCCTAGTGTTTCTATGCAAAATAGCACGCTCCGTCACAGCGGACAATTTTTTCGATACCAGCCTGTGACTGTGCTTTCAAATGTTCACATGACCCCATTCTTAGAAATCTCTCTAGATAAGTGTAAGCTGATTTTTTTCCATTCATGTGTTTAACAGTTCTCATTTCTTCCTTATTCGACTCATTATTAAATATTTGACTTTTAAATCACATGTCGCAATGCTCTTGACTGATCATTCTGCTATCTTAATGATTTCTTGAGAATTATCCAACGGATAGCATTTAAAGTGTTCCCGCTGAAAGGCCAGGAATTTCAGCTATCTGATGGTTTACTAGGTGTTTTACCATTGTCTATTTTTCATTTTCAATTAAAATATTAAATGAGACTTTCGTTTGACGTCTTCTTTAGAATTTCCCTCTGAATTTCTCATAATTCTCACGATATGATTTTGTCCCAATGTTGATTTTCCGAAAACTGGACACATTCAAAGATCATCCATGATATCACAAAAGTAATCAATTTTGCGTAACAAACTTGATATCATATTATCATCCATAGATTCTAGTTTATGCACATAAAAATGTGTTGATAGGATATTTAAAAAATTATTACAGTTCTTATAGGGTTCTGTTTTTGGCTCACCCTGTATATCCCCTTTCCAAAGGTACATCACTATATGATATGACATTGATTAGATAGCACTATGATTTGATACGAAATACACAATTTAGATTTGGTAAATATCATGTCCCAGAGATTTACCTGGTTTATATCGATTTTATGTTGAGAAAAGTTACTTTCAGCAACACTATCTAGGTATCATTTAATCTCTGATACAAGGTTCGAACTTTTGGACCATTTTGGTCAAAACTTCTTCACATTCTTGTTCGCATTTTGGTTAGAAATTTTTGAACCATTTTAGAAAATTTTGGTTAACATTTGGATTAAAAATTGAATGTTCAGTGATTTTTAGTTTCAGTCTTTTTGAATAATCGTATAAAGCTATAAATACTATTTATATTGATCTTGCAAAGAACGATTTTTTCAGTGTTTGACATCTTGATTTTCGCAATTGATGTTTTTCCATTTCGAAATTATTTTTCGCAGTTTGAAATGTATATATTTATTTCATTTAAGTGTCATGGTTAATAAATACACTAAAATTTTGTAAAACAACAATAACCCAGACCGTCATCGACCTATTCAATAAATAGCAAAGTCTGTAAAATTATCTAAAAATAGCACATTCTCTTAATTTTAACATCTGACCTAACATGGTTAGCTTTAAAATGAATGAGACGTCTACATGTAATTGCTAGTTTGAGACATCAAAAACTGAAGATTGATTTTTTATAAAGGCCCCATATAAAGTTTAAACAACTTTGGCTTATGTTGTAGTCTTGCCCAATGTTATCAAAGTGTGATGTGTGAAGGACTTTTTGTTCGAAAAATCGTGAATTTATTTAAAACTAACTTTTAGAGGTCACACGTTTCTTTGAATAAGCGACAATTCATACCAATGCATATCATTCAGCCTTACATGTTTTTCTCCGAAAAAAAATCGGTTCATAAATAAGCGAGAAATGAACTCATCGATGCATGAAAATGGTTTAGAGAAAAATGCATTTCAAAATTTCAGTTCTCATAGAAACCAATGGTACAATAATATCTAAAACATAATGTATTCTTCCTTTTTACCAGGTTAGACAGTCAATATTGGTTTGTTTTTGATGACATATCATTGAAATAGTGCGTCCTTTGTTCAGTCTTTGCATTGGTGTTAAAAATATCATCTTTTTTAAATCAATGGAGGAATATTTGATGATTAAAAAATTTCAACTTTTTTGAAAAATGGCGGGAAATTTGAATATTTGAGAAATGAAAAACTGATAACTTTTTTTGACAACTCTAAAATAACTTTTTAAGTCACGACAAATAGAAAATGAATGATAAAAACATATTTCCAAACTTTACACGGGGACTTTAAACAAACATTATTAAAATTGACACCGATTATTTGCGTATCTCCTCACAGTATATAGATTATTGGAATAGACTTTAAAATTCATGAATCTATTATCTTGTTGTAATTCTGATGTGTAATTTATTGAATGTTATGCAATAGGGGGACATCGATTATTTCGAATATTTATTTATTTTATGGCATCATCTCCTTGGATGCGATTGCTGACGCCATGCCGAGTGAACATAAGACAGTCCTCGATACTGTGCGAAACTATCACCTGCTAAGATTTTGTAGTGCAACATAGAACATAGACGGAAATATTAGTATAACTGCCTGTCATTCTTGGAAATAATTAATAAAGGAAAATTATGAAATATGAAACAAAATATGGAAAATACGATTATAATGTAATGTGCAAAAGATGACGAAGTACCAACTAAAATAACCCGATTGGAATTGCTTTTCTCTATAAAAAATCCAGGAGAAAAGGACAACCATGGAAAATCAAAACGCTACTATATTCATTTTTAATAACCATCCGCTTGTTGTCAACGTGCAGTTAGCTGACACGACGACCCCTGGGCTTACTGCTTTTTTCTTAGTGATTGCTATCTTTATTCTTATCGCAAACACGTACAACATTCTAGTCATCACGAAGACACCGTCTCTCCGTGAAAACCCGAGTGGTGTGTTGATGATCTCTCTAGCTGTTGGTGATATCCTCATTGGACTTACATTTCCGTTGCCGATGATATACATGAGGGCGACGGGACAGTTCAGTCCAGGCCTTTGTGTTTTTCAGACTATCTCCATTTCAAGCTGTTGTGTAGTCTCAATCTACACTCTTGGTTGGCTAAGTTTTGACCGCTACATAGCCATCACTCGACCGCTACATTATGATCGCATTGTGACTTATAAACGGATCTACATCATCATCACAATAACGTGGTTTGTGAGCTGGCTTGTTTGGCTTGGGCCGCTCTTTGGAATTGGTAGCTATATATATACACCTGATATACAACACTGTACAATTGATCCAATCTCCAACCCTATATACACTCTCTTCGTCATACTTATTGTATTCGGCATTGTATCCGTCATCATAGGATTCAGTTACTTTCAAATACTAAAAGTTAGCTTGTATCATGCGAAACGTATTGAACCTGTTTATCACGACATTAAACCAGGAGAGGAAGAAAAGAAACCCGGGTTCAAAATTCCAAAAGCCATAAGGACACTCCTTATCATTGTGTGTGCGTTTTATTTCGCTTGGACCCCTCTTTGTGCGGAATGGATAGTGAGGGGATTTGCAGGTTACATCGGAGCCCCGCATATTGTTTTAACTATTGACTCTGCCCTCTGTATATCCAATTCGTTTTGGAATGCTATAATCTATACCTTAACCAATAAAGCATTTCGTAAATCAGCAATTAAACTGTTTGGGATATCCAAATATCTCAAAGAGAGAGAAGCTTCAAAAATCAAAACGATTTCCTCAACATTTGATGGTGGCCTCACCCCAGCTGGCTAGCGGAAGCTTCATGCACCAAAAAAACATAAACTTTTGCATAACACATGAAATGAACTTGAGGATAATAAGATTTTACAAAGTGTAAAATGAATGTTATTGAATTTTTCCCACATGGATTGTTAAACTTCTTAATCAAATCATAATATAATATTGAAAACGACGCACCATAGATTTTATGGATATTCAGGGGTCCGTTTTTGGAATCGTTATAACTTACGATTTGGTCGCAAGTCACTGTTCGTCAAAAAGTAGAAAATGGCTGTCTAGGAATCCTAAGTTACGAACTTACCAAAAACGAACCCAAGGGGCGTAATGAGAATCTAATGAATGTATTAAACTTCATTTAGCCTATGCAGTTTTGTTGAAAAAACGTCATTTAGCTACGTCACTTCTCAGTGGCGTAGATACGTGGACGCAAAGTACAGCCAATAAATAAAACAGAAATTTATATGAATGAATTAGAATTGTGAAAATTCCCCTCGAACAGAGCTACAGTGTCCCTAGGCACGCATCAGCATTTGAACCCAATCCATCCGCTGGTATTTGAGTTATTAAATATTACTTTTTTGCAAAAATTGCGGTCATTTTAAATGCAGACAGATCGCCTTAAATTACATTCGTATGATGCGAGACTCAAGATTCACCAGGAAAGTAGAAACATTTTGTCACCCATGAAGCAAATTAATTTTTACTGTTTATTCTTAAAACAGCTAAAATTACACCAATTTTCAAAAAAGGAAAACCTAGTTTATTCTCTAATTACAGGCCTATTTCTCTTCTTAGCATCTTTTCAAAAGTGCTAGAAAAACTCATGCATAAAAGACTCATAGATTTCATTATAAAACAGAAAATACTTAGCTCAAGTCAGTTTGGTTTTTTACCAAACAAATCAACTTATATGGCAATTTTAACTTTTCTTGAAAACCTCAGAACATCTCTCGATGATAATAACTTTAACATAGGACTGTTTCTTGACTTATCTAAGGCATTTGACACCGTTGATCACAAAATTCTACTTGAAAAAATTGATTTTTATGGGTTAAGGGGAAATGTAAAAAATTGGTTCACTTCCTACTTAGAAAACAGAAAACAGATCACTTGCTACAATAACACTTATTCAAATCAAGATATTATCAAATGTGGTGTACCTCAAGGATCTATACTTGGACCGACTTTGTTTTTAATGTATATTAATGATATTACTTCAACCTCAAATCTTATCAAATTTGTATTATATGCAGATGATACTAATTTACTTATATCTAATCGTAATATGGATGAACTAGTTAGACTATTAAACAAAGAACTGCAAACAATTAATCAATGGTTTAAAGCTAACAAACTATCTCTTAACTTAGATAAAACTAATTTCATAATTTTTACTCCTGGTAGAAATTTAATCCATGACATAAATATACATATTGACAATGTGCCAATAAAAAGAGAAAGTAGTGTTAATTTTCTTGGAGTATTTATTGACGAAAAGTTAAATTGGAAAAAGCATATTCAGCATATTACTAATAAGATATCAAGAATAACAGGCATTCTCTATAAAGTAAGAGACATTCTTGATCATGACTCTAAGCTTAAAGTATATCATTCATTAATCCTTTCTCAAATTAACTATTGCAATATTATTTGGGGTCATGTAAAAAAGAACATACTTACACCAATACATCTTATTCAAAAGAAATGTATTAGATTAATTACAAATTCACATTTTAGAGAGCACACTGCCCCTTTATTCAAAAGAGAAAACATTTTGACAATTTTTGATATTTATCATTTAAATGTTGCTACATTTGTATATAGATGCTTAAACATACCATCTGGCTTTCCTATATACATTTTTAAAGACTATTTTAAAATTTCCCAACATGGCCATGACACAAGATCTAAACACCTTTTAGTCCAACCTAAATACCGCATTAAGTTTGGGTGGGACTCACTTAAATATATTGGACCATCATATTATAATAAACTACCTAATGAAATTAAGCACAGTGTCAGTACAGTTAAATTCAAGGCAGCACTTAAACATCATATTATATCAACTTATTAATTTATATGTAACTCTAGCAGACTCTACCATCTCACTTTTCCTGCATTCCTGCACTTCATTAAAATAATTGTATTTACAAATATTGACTTTTGATCCTTGAACTACAATATACGCTTTGCGTCAGATTGTATATGAATACTATATGTAACATGTTAAAAAGTTGGAATAAACTTAAACTTAAACTTAAACTTAATAAATGGTCAAGGACGGTTACATTGAGTTCTATAAGTATGAGAATTGCATGACGTCTTGATATTTCAAGGTAACTCATTCGAAAAGTGATGGCGGTGATCGAACTTACGGTGTAAAGATAAAACCGTAATGAAACGTTTGTAGATTTCTTTGAATAACCAAGAAATATACATCACACATCGAATTTTTCAAAACAGGAAAAACATGTATAAAAAGTAAGGCTAATGCTTGCAGGTAGCACTAGGTAGCATTAACATTGGTCTCATATATGTCATGCAATTAATATTTGAGAAACAACTATATCATTTGAACTTATGATCGGACGTAAGTATGATGTTACTTTATAAATATTACATTGAAGTACACATCATACTTATGTCCGATCATAAGTTTGAATAATAGTTGGGATTCAAATATTACAGGTAATTGTATGACTTATAAACCTACATTCCTTACTATTTATACATGTTTTTCTGTTTTGGAAAATTCAATATGAGATGTATATAAGTTGTTCAAAGAAATCTTCAAATATTTCGTTGCGGTTTTATCTTTACATTGTCATTTCAATCACCGTCATCATTTTTCGAACGAGTAACCTTGAAATATCAAGACGGCATGCTATTCGCATACAAGTTTATAGAACTTAATTTGACTGTCATTTATCATTAAGCAGTAAAATATTAATTTGCATCATGGGTGACAAAATGTTTCTACTTTTTCATACGAATGTAATTTTAGGCGATCTGGTCTTTTTCTTTCACTCGTTGTCTTCTTAGTTTGTTTGTTTATGTAGCTGTTATTTTCTTGTCCTCTTTAGTTTCTTCTTTCTTGGTTTTTTTCTTCTCTATACTTTTCCTCTTTGGTCTTGTTTGGTGTCGGGTCTGTAGACTTGTGGCTACACGTCGGTGGGGTAAAACTTTTTCTTCCGGTAACACTCCCCTCCCCCTTTGTCTTTATCGATGTTTGTTTTTGTTGCTGTTTTTCTTCTGTTTACCCTCATTTCGGAAACTGACATCTAAATTCCGTTCATTCTTGTTGTTTTCTCCTCATTTCCTTATTAATCTTAGAGTTCTGACCATATCTTTAATATTTTCATCACTGCAAACTCTTGATATTTTTATTATATGTCACACTGGCGGATGGGCGAACGGACTGGTGGACGAAGCACTTCTCGAAAGATTTCATACTCCATAATCCGACTTGTTCTTCGTTATTTATCTCGTTGTAAAACAACATCTTGTATTCATCTTTGTTTACCAAGGATTTTTTAAACATTTACCATGTGAAAACCCCTCTTATAGGATATAACGAAACATAACCCAGAATAGAGCATATAATTTACAGTATGTAGGAACATTTTGCAGGAGTTTTTGTGAGTGGCTGACACATCTTAATTCACAAGGTTTGAGTTGCTCAAACTTCACATTCCTATAACACCTTGGAAGTCAACTTCATATTTCTATAACACCTTGGATTGGAAGTCGAAGATGTGGCAGACAACCAGCTCTTTATAATTATCTACAGGTCATATCAACCCGTGGTGAACACTTTGCTCTCGAGATGCCTCAAATGAAAAAGTCAGGCCATGATCCCCATGTAAACAAATGATATATCATCGAAAAGAGGGGAAACATGGCTTTGTGATACAGTCAATAATTGATGCAATCATCGTTGGCTTTGTTGTTTTACGATTTATTTGTTGTCAATTTTTATTGCATCAATATGTTGCGTTAGCCTCTTTAAAGGAATAAGTAATTCTATTTAGATAAAGTGGAAAACATGGGAATATTTCCCTTGTTATTTTCCCATAGGAAAAACTCATGAGATCCATTACTTTCAGTTTAATTTTGGTCATCCATAGTGAATATCTTTAAAACCCCTGAAGGAATTCCTTTATAGGGGTTAACCGTGTGTCAAAACGCAACGTATTAATGCAACAAAAATTGAAAAAGCAGGGATGGAAGGGGTTGAAAATCAGGACAACATTTCAGAAAAACATGTGGGTAGGTTTTTTGCATCTTCCCTGTCTCAAAGTTGAAATTATTTTGTGCTTCTCTTGGAGGTAATGCATTGGCCTAACATATGAACCTGTTTTAGTCCTCAGAAAATAGCCCAAATCCAACATATGACTGTCCGAAATCTGTTGCAATACTTTCCGTCCTCCTTTGCCCACGTATTTGAATTTGAATATGTAAGGAATACATTGGTAGATCAATTGCACAATTGTCAATTGTATAAATACATTTTCTACTGATTATAAAAATACCTTTTTTATTTTGACATAATATCTTATTAATATCACAGTAATTATGGAATTAATGCATGTATACTTTATACCAGTTATTAAGATATTTAACAATATACAGGGTGGTCCAAAAAATGGGACACTCGTATTTCAAAAATAAATATTGATTTTCTTGATGAAAACATGTCATATTATATTCCATTAGATAGGTGTGATTTTCATTTCAAAGCGGGTTTTCCAAAACTTGCAAAATCCAAGTTTTTTGTCAACTTTATTTACAAACAGATATTCAATATGTCCACCATTTTGATCAATTGTTGCCTAGCTCAATTTTGGCCTAAACTGGACAATAGCATCATTGATATGCTGTTGAGACAACTTCTCAACAAGTCTATCCTTAATTAGGGACTGAGAAGATGTAAGGGGTTCATGATAAACCAATTCTGTTAGGTCTCCCAATATGTGGTCGTCACAGACGTTTACGTATATTTGATGATCCAATTATGTTGATTTTGGACCATCCTGATATGAGCTCATTTTCGAACCATTACATTTTCCAACAAGATGGGGCTGTAAGCAAAAGATCCCACAAGAGTGTCAAATCTTTAAAAGAATATGTGCCTCGATTCATCCCCCGATCACCCAACGTCTGCGACCACGTATGGGGAATTAGTGTACCATAAATCCTTTACATCTATTTAGTCCCCGAAGGACAGAATTATTGAGAAGTGAAATTCATTGTTTCAACAGCATATCAATGATGCTATTGACCAGTTTAGGCCAAAAATAAGGGCTACAATTGATCAAAATGGTAGACATATTGAATATCTCTTTATAAAGAGATAAAATAAAGTTGACAATAAAACTTGGTTTTTGCAAGTTTTGGAAAACCCGTTTTGGAACGAAAATGACGTCAT